CCAAACACTTTGCAATTTGCATTTAGATTGTTTGGTGCCAATGTTCAGGATAAGATACTTCCTAGCTCTGTCAAACAAAACCTGATTGTCATTTAGCAGAGTGGCAGTCAATTTATGTTTCCATTAATGCAGATCCCAGACAATTATCTGGGGAGGGGAGAGGGAAAAACCTTAACAAATTGCCCTTCTGTCTTCAAGGCTGATTTTCCAGTGGGCAGCTGTAGGGCACATTTGACATACCCATGAGGAGGAGAAAGGGAATGCCTTTCTGCTCTTGCTGGGGAGAAAGGTGTGGGGGCAGCTCCCAGACCCCTTGGCTGTGCAGCATCACACATGAGAGCCCAGTGCCTCATGGAGGCAGCAGCGATGTGGGGCAGGGTCACCAACCCTGGGCCAGGGATGTGTCAGACTTCGACTCCCAGCCTGATTCAGTGGCACAGCCAGGGATCCCAGTGGGTTTCACTGGGCATAAATCCACTCAGCAGCTGGAGATGTGCTGTCAGACACAGAGTCACCTGGGCTGTGCCAGTGCTATCCCTAGGGTCCCTGGCCCTTAAGCACTGATTGTGGTCCTCCTTCACCAGGTGGGATAGCAGAGGGCATGGCCTCCTGGTGATGGGATTGCCCTCCATTCCTGCCACACACACCCCACAGCTGCACTCCTGGGGTCTATGGGGGGTTGCACACACTGACATGACTGACTGCAGCTCTACCATGCCCTTGTGCAGATACAGAACACAAGTATAATACACTTTCCTTCTCTGACAGTAAGTTAAAGACTCTTCCCCCTTCCCTCCTGTCTTAATGACTTAATTTTTCCTCTGCCCTCTTACTTATCTGTGCCCCCATCACTCCTGTGCTCCCCACAAGGATTCCATGCATGACAGCAACCCCTCCACCAAAGGCAGCTCCCCCATCGCTCACCCCTGTTGTTTGCTGGAGTGCAGCACTGATGGCATTGACCAACCCAAGGTTTCCCCAGGCAAGGCATTTTCCCCAAGGATGTTTGCCCTTAATGAAGAAGCCAGTCCTGTCCTTTCCAGTGCCCTCTCTGAGAGGGGTGGGCAGGTGGCACTGGTGCAGCCCCACTCCCCAGCAGCACTCCTTGCTCGTGGGCTTTTCTGCACGCACACGTGTGTGTCACACAGGACATCACAAAGCTCATAATCCTGTGTGCAAGACTGCTCCTGTTGCCTTTGCAAAAACACAGCATTACATCTTGGCTGGTGCAAAAGAGCCATTTGTGTTGGAAACAGCTTTCTGTGACTCCCTGGCCAAGTCAGCAGGATACTGGCTGTCCTTCCCTGGGGCTGCTGGGGTCTCCTTAGGGAGCAAAGAAGAGACCCAAGTAGAGGTAGGCTCATCTGCAGCTGAGCTGTGCTGTGAGCCTGTGGGGCTCACACAGGCTGTCTGGCACGTGCTGCAAGGGGACCACCTTGGTATGAGCCCTTCGGTGTTCTGGCTCGTGGCCTTTTTGCGGCACTGTGGGGCAGGTGGTGCTGCTTGGTGACTGAGAAAAATTAAGTGGTTCTCTGAAGGGAGGGTAGACACCCATGCCCCAGTAATTGGAAATACATCTGTGACCCCTTAGAAAGTTATTTTTGCTACATGAAAGGCTGGGGCGTGAAAACAAGGCCTTCTACAGACTGTAGCACCTCTTGGCTTTCCTTCCAGTACAGCTCATTTATTTGGTTTGGCACCAACTAACCAATCTGTGTAGCTGCCAGGTTCACCATGTATGAGGAGCTGTTGATGTCAGGAAGAGCTTTTGGCTGCAGGAAAGCCCTGCAGATGTTGTCCACGTGGTTCTACTCTCCATAAGCATTTAGGAACAGTCAAACCGTGTAACAATTTTAGAATGATTATTTTTCTTTCAAAATGACGTAAATTTCTATCAGGCACTGCAGCAGAAGCACAGGGTGACATGCAGTATGAAGGCTGGGTGAGGTGTGTGGTATGTGCTGGCAGCAGGGGACAGAGGAATGCCAGAGGAACAGGACCTGGCAAAGCGTGGAGAGGACTGGCACGTCAGACCAGCTTGGAAGTAGCTGGCAGGCTCCTCTGTGCAGCGTTTTGCACCACACTGCTTGTCAGACAGCCAGCAAGGCCTAGCAGAGGGAGAGGTATTGCCTGCCCATATTTAAATTCTAGTGATTCCCACATTTCAGAATTTTGACTCGGGATCCAGCTGGGGCAAAAAGAGACTCATGTCACCTCCCATGCAGATAACCTGGTGAGTTAGCTGTGCCTCGTTTGTCCCTGCCCTATCTTTGCTTCCTAACTGTGCAAAGAATCACCACCTGTGGGTGCCTCTTCCAGAGGCATCTCCCAGCCAAATCAAGGCAAACACATCCAGACCCACTCATGGACTCATGTTCCCCTTCCAGATGATCTGCACTGTGCTGCTGAATGGGAATCTCATGCCTTGTCCAAAATGGGCTTACACCCCTCACCCGAGTTAAGGGGCATTCAGTTGCCCAGGGTGCAACCTGCTCCTTCCCTCTCTTCCAGTTCCTTGGCTGTACATTGCCTAGAGGACACTGCTGACACCATGCCCAAGCCTATCCAGGGCACGAGGAAAGGGGTCTTCCTCTGCCTACAAACCTGTTCAACCCACCAGGTGACCTCAGAGCACCATTAACACTCTTAAAGGCTGCTCTTTTCCTTGTCAATTTTTTGCTTCCACATCCCCTCCTAGCCTCTCTGCCACAGCCTTACCCGTGCCATCTTGCTGTCTCTTCCTGGCCTGTACACACTCTCTTTCTCTGGACCTACACACCTCTTCTCCACAGGTAAGCTGTTAACTTCTCAAGATTTTGAAGAAATCCCAGATGTGCCAAAAGAAGAACCACAGATTCTGAATTCTGTTCAGGCATCTCTTACTCCTAACAGGTTTTTATTTATGTGGGAATTACTACAGGGTTTGCAAATGAGTCTTCCCTATTTTCTTTGCAAACCTCAGAGTCACTTACACTGCTTGTTCACCATGTTGTCTAATAGAGAGAGAAACTTCAGTCAAGTTGCCTTAATACTTATTTTATTTAAAGAATCAGAAACACAGTCATTGTAGTTCATTTGTACTCATATCTGCCAACATTTCCTAAACCACGTTAACATTCATGTATAACAAAAACCTTTTCTGAGCTGTGCAAAGTTCAAAGGAATTGTTCAATTACTTGAACCCATTTCTAGAAGAACAAACCTGGCATTTTACAAACTGAGGCCACCAGAAGGAATCTTTTCTTGTCCTCGCCCTGTTTTGCAGGAGATGGTGATGCCCCCTCCTCCCTCTTTTCCTGGCGTGACAGGTAAAAACTAGACCACAGTATGAGTCAAACTTCTCTCAGTCCAGGACTTTCTGAATGGCACTGGGTCATGTTTTTGTATCACTGGGCTGTATTAAGTTCACCTTAACACTTGTGCTCCTGGCATGGAAGTGATTTGTCCAAGAAGATTACTCACTAACCTGAACTGTGATAAGCAATAAAGAGGGCCCAGAAACAGATGCTATCAAAATAGAACACCTCCTCCCCCCTCCCCCCTATATTTTTCCTAGAAGAAGGTATGACTGGAAGAGTTGTCGACCATTCAAAAAACCATCATCCTCCTTGCAAAATATATTTTAAAGCACTGATTTAATGATATGACATCTGCATGTTTTCCTTGATCCTCTCACACACCAACTTTTGTCCTCTTAGAGTTAAGCATAAAACGGTGGAAATCTGGAACTATTTTAGATCTGGCTAAACAGAATAGGCAGCATGCAAGCTGTCATCCTGTTTAGTTTTTCTGACTGTAGTAAATACACCAGGGAACAGAATTTTAAGAGTGTTTTAACCATTGTAAGTTGTCAGAAAAAATCTCATCTCTGACAGATCTAACCCAGAATTTTTATTGGAATCAATAACACACATTTTGGCATTGCTGACTGCCTAACTGTGCAGTTTACTGTTTGAGGTGCTGTGACACCAGCTCTGACCTGGACCAAATAAGTGGAACAGATATGGCTCTAATCTCAAGCAAGTCTTTCCAGAAGACGTTTCTTCAGTCTCTTATTGTTTATAAAAAGGCAATTTCCTCTGAACAGTAACTAAATTTTTAGTGACTGACTCATTACAATCTGGAATATCAACAAATGCGGCAACATCAACTATAAAAAGAAACACCCTGAAAGTGATGCCTCCCGGTTTGAAGGTGCTATACTTGGCCATGAACTGTGTTTCTGGAATTGGTTTGTTAACATGTGACAGCAAGAAGAACTTATTTTACAGAGAACAAAGTCACAGAGCTGAACTTAAACAGGAATGCTCACTTACATGGGTTTTGATATGTACTAGTACACACGGCTTGAATGAAAACAAAACTTACACCTTCGCATATGAAATACTGGTAACGCAGTGATGATGCTCACCCACAGGGCCTCTTTGTTTTAATAAGATCATCTCCAGGTTACAGTGCCTCTGACATGCTTTTAAACACCCACCACATGTGGGCTTTGGCAAACAGCCAGCTGCTGTCAGAGGCAAGGTATGGATACAGCTACGAAAGGCCTTTCAACACAATTCGCTCCTCAAGAGCTGATGTCTTTTTAAATACTCTCAACAATTGCATTATGACTTTTTTTCTCATTCTTTTTCACACAAATTACTGGCTAAACTCACCTTACATTTATTGCACCTTTAAGTCCCTGGTAGATGGAAGCTTATATTGCCTGATACAGTTTGTATTGTAGCTTGACAACGTTAAGAAATCCAACAGTCTCCAGAACTGTACATTTCTACAGTAAGAAATCACATTTCCATAACACTAATTACTGGTGTCGCAGATCAGCTCTCATCTCCGTCATGCAACGACAGAGGAAAACTCCACGGTCCCTGCGCGTGCTAGAACCTGCAGTGTTCTTCTTATTGCCATGAAAAAGTCAATTAAAATGACTCCTCTGGGAATTACTTCCAATTCTGGAGTCATTATCACCCTCCAGACAGAACGCTGTGCTTCAGCATGGGTCTTCAGCCACTCTAAATATGTAGGAGAGAGCAAGCATGTGTATGTTGCACAGGCAGCTCCCCCCGGTACATTTATCGGTGACCATGCAGCTTTTTCTCTTTTCCTCTATGATGCAAGAACAAGCAGTCTGATCTCAATCTTCAGGTACGTTTCTAATTTCATATGTTGAATGCAAATCTTGTTGCAGCCTCTCTGTTTAACCAAATCTTTTAACAATTAAAAAAAATAGCACCAGATGTATGAAAAAGAGGAAATGTCTGATCTAGTAGGAATATATATAAAGTAGAGCAATTCTTACAGTAAAAAGGTACGTTGTACAAAAAAGCAATGGTAAGTGATACCGAAGGACAAAAATCCATGCTGCATATAATACGGGCAGAAGACAGGCAAAAGGGATTCTGCTCAAATAACCACGGTTTAATGGTGGAGCTGTACTTCCTCCAGGACCTCCCTGGCAGCAGTGCCAGGACAAGGGGTGGTGTAGCACTCTGAGCACTTAACACCGACACGCACTGACAAACCTGCGCAGCATATCTTTGAGGTATATAGAATGCATGACATTAACATTTTTGACTCCTCATTCTTACTTGCACAATGATGCACTGATCTTTAGCTGGGGTTTTCTCCACCCTCCCCTCTTCTTCCCTTGGTAAAAACAAAATCCCTCTTTAAGAGCTTCCTAGCACACCTTCTTGAACTCAAATCCATCTTGCATAGGCCAGTAATAAGAACACTGCAGCTCTGACAAATAAGTTACAGCAATATAACAGCTTTCCTCTTAATTTTTTTTAAAGATATCTTCTCTATAATTTACACAAAAGGTTAACAGCCAGAGTTTAGGTTACTACAGTCCAGATGGGCGTCCATTCAGTCTGTGATTCCAGGTGGAAGGCACTACTTCAACATACCACTGTATGCACTGCACACGGTCTCGGGAGCACAGCGGGGCACTGTGTCTCCAGAGCTGCAGACTGAAGGGCCTGGGGGAAGTCTTTGGAAATAAAAATGGCAGTGGTTATCAGTCCAGTTTCTCTTTGCTGTCTCTTCTTGTGCTATGCAGATTCCCCTGAAAGCTCCTCAGTTGAGAGAGCGGCGATTCGTCCTCAGAAGCTCTCGACAAAGCTCCCGGGGAAGAGGCCCGTCCTGCCGTTCCTCTGCAATGTCCCTTTGTACCAGCCGTCCTCCCGTTTCTTGTGCACAAACACAATGTCACCTTCCTTCAGTTCGATCTCTGCCTCGCTCTGCGGTGGGTATGGGACCACAACGCGGTACCTTTGGAGAAAAAAATGCGCAAAGACTTGGTTAATCTGCACTTGATGGGAGCAGCTGGGCACCAGTACCAGAGATCTTGGGGAAAAAACTTCTGGAAATATCAGCAAGTTACATTTTCACACACTAGCTGTATGCAATACAATTTTCTACTAAAACTGAGCAAGATGGAAATTTCTGGCCAGCTTGGCTGGACAACTGACCAGGACATACACTGGAGCCAGTCCATGAAAGCGGGAACATGTTGTCAAATGGATGGAGCACTCATGGTGTCCCTGTCTCCAGCTGTGTGCTGAGCCTGTGCCAGGACTTGGCTGCCTAATCCTAGTGCTGCATCTCTGCTGTAACATGTCTTACTCAGCTCTGCATTTGCTCCATCCAAAACTGATTGCATCATAGAATGATAGAACAATTTGGGCTGGAAGGGACTTTAAAGGTCATCTAGTTCAACCCCTCTGCCAGAGGCAGGGACATTTTCAACTCAAGCAGGTTGCTCAGAGCCCACGTCAACTGCATAAATCAGCTTGGCGTCATCTGCCAACTTCCTCAGGGTGCCCTCAATTCCACCTTCTCTGTTACTGATGAAGATATTGAACAGCACTGCTCCCAGTGTGGACCCCTGAGGGACACCACTCATCACCAGTGTCCCTTAAAACATCAAGCCATTGACCACAACCCTCTGGATGTGACCGTCCAACCAATTCCTGAGCCACCAAGCAGTCCCCCTTAGAAATCAATCCTTCTCTAGTTTAGAGAGACATGTTGTGAGGGACCATGTCAAAGACCTTACAGAAGTCCAGATACACGATACGCTCTCTTCCTTGTCCACTGATGATGAAAAATGGGGTTTGCAATGCTCCCACTGCCTGTGATACCAGCAGATGCTAGCTAAAGCAGTTCACATTTTTCTTCTTATAATGTTTCTTGAGAATGTACTTTGGGTGCCGCAAACCTGGAAGGGAAACTAAAATGGAGAGGTATCAAGTGACTTTCAAAGCACTCTCCAAACCAACAGGGAGCCCCAGTCTTGAACCATTCAGAGCTCTCTCTGGGAACTTCGTTTTCAAGTGTCACTTCATTTCAATGAAGTAATGATGTGTCTGAGCCTGATACAGCTATTCTGCACTCAGAGCTTATCAGCAGGCGTCTTTCTGAGAGCACAGACCAGGCCATTTTATATCAATGCACTTGTGTGCAGAGCAGGGAATATTTATCTACTGCACGGTTGGTTTTTTTTTCCTACACCACTTCTGCAGTCATCTGGCATTTGGTTAACAGTCAATAACTGTCTTACTAATTGCAAAGTAATGAATATAGTAAGATTGTTAAAAGTTGCCAATTGATTACCTAAAGCCCATCTCCTGAGAATTAATATCTTCACAACTGCTGCCTGGCCACCAATGCCTGAGTCCTGTTTGTAACAAGATAAGTACTTAATTAAGATAATAGACTGTCCCTGGGGACTTTAACATTCCCTGGAGGCTGTGGACCGTGCCCCAAGGCCATCCCCAATGAGACAGTACCAAAGCAAGGTGCTCTCCAGTGGCAGTCACACACTTCCTTTTGCAGACTTTGCTCAGGTGACTTCCACTTTGGAATGACACAGGAAATACCAGCTTTGACTCTGTCTGGACATCTCCACAGCCAAACAACCTATTAAACTCCATTTGGAGCAGGGCTTCCGTCCTAATACATGATTATGGCTTTTTTATCTTGACAGAGCAACAGTCGTGGAAATTGTATGTGTTCAAGTGCCATCAAAATTTGCCGATCCTCTCTGTACCTTGGTTAATAAATCTAGTTGTCACTTCCTTCCTCTGTGGAAAAGCAAATAACAGGGGTTGAAACGTGAGCAGGAAAATGGTCTATCAAGCTATAATCTGTGGAACTGCTACACTTATAATATGAAGCTTTGCCAATTACACTCATTATGCAAATGAATGCACACATTATTTCAAACACTCTGCTGCAGTGTTGATTAATTAAATTATCAGAGTGGAACAATTTCAGCTAAGATGATGCCAAGTTTCAGATCTCACTACTCTTACGCACAATCACAGCACATCAGAGCTCTGCATCAGGAACTCAGGAGGCCTTGAGAAAGAAAAAAGGTGGGACCTCAACATTAGTTGAGTGCTAGGGAGGTACTCACAGACCATTCTGGCAAGTCAGGAAACAGAAACTCAGAAAAAGGTGGTGTCTTGGGCAGGGTCACTCTGAAGACCCAGATGTTATACCAAAGGCACAGAGACATCCTGTTAAAGCAAAACTACGTCCTCAGAGTGATGAGCTGCTAGTCCCTGATGGTTCACATGAGGAGGCAGGTGACCACACTCAACCAGAATGCACCCATTGTCATAAAAAGGGTTCTAAACAGCATCTTCTTAGCAACTTAGAGAAATAAATCTCTCACTGCATTATAAAATGAGGTACTTTTTCTTATTTGGGAGACCCTAAATGCTATGGTTAAATTTAATTGACTACAGTACCTCACAATATAGTACCAAAGATGCTTTTGACAGAATAACAATACTAGCTAGGAAAGACCTTGCAAATCAGTTAAGAACTCTTCTGTGAGAGATGGAAAAGATGCGATGCCTTTTCCCATGAGAGGTTTGAAGCAGAGCCTGGGAAAGGCAGCCCGGTGGGGGCTGCAGGGGCAGCATCCCGGCACTGCGCTGGCACAGGGAGCTGTGCCGCCCCTCCACACCTCCAGGTGGCACCTCAGCCCCGCTTATCCTCTGGAACGGAATTGCAAGGACAGCTATTAGCCATAATTTTTTTGGCAGAAAAGGTCTCTTCTTCCAGACATCCTCCCTCACTCCCAAAAAGGCAGTCCGGGATACTTCTATTTATATCTCCCCTTTTTATTTCCCCTTTTGTCCTTTGAGAAGATGCTACAAAATTGTAGGTTTTCCTATACTAAACTGTCGCTCGGCATTTTAGATGGATCTCAGTGCTCTAAATTTTGTCTGTGTCACATTCCACCTCTAAATTACCAACTTTCAAAAATGCTAATTATGAGCAATAATTACGATGACAAATGTGGCAACCACCTCTGACTACAATTAACCATTTTTCATATTTTCTGTTGTAAATTGTGTAAATCTGTCTTATATAGTTACAATTCTGCCAAATGTTAATAATTTTGGCCCAAATTCTCCACAGCAGTTGTCTGTATCAGGCAACATGCAGCCCAATGGCCACATCATTTCCAAGAATAATATGAGGGGTTTTGCAGCACCAGCAGGACCCATATGAGCACTTCCACAAACTGCTCTCAGGTCCTGTATTTGGAAGCAAAAACCTGTCCTGTGGTCCCACTGGTCTGTCAGGGATGGTGTTCCTTCAGAAAATCACCCACTCTCAGCCAGGTTAAAAACATTCAAACCACTCCAAAATGGCACATGTTTAGGCTTGTATGAGCACTGAAAGTAAAATCTCTGTTGATTCATGCTCTAAGCTGTCCTAGCTCTGTGGGACCTCAGAAGCTGCATTTCTCTTCCTTTCTTAGCACTGGATCCCTCTTGTATTTTTCTCTTAGGGGACAGACTTGATGTTGGACATCCTCACTGCTGGCTGCTGTAGCATCCTTGGATTGGGCACTTCATCCCTGGAGGCTACTGTCCCGGATGGACAGGCAGTGGCCTGGGAAGGGTCCTTGGTGCACAAGAGATAATACATGAGGAGAGGCTGCAAGTAGTATCAGCAAGGACTGGGGATGGGTTTTGCCTGGGCAGGGAAACCCCTGGAGATGGAGACTGGGGTAAAGCAAGGGATGAGGTGGAGGAAGAGGGAGGCTGATGGGAGAAAAACTGGGAGCAGAGGAAGAAGCGTGACTGTGATGAAAACTGGAAGCCCTGATAAAAGGTGTGGGTATGGCTGCTGAGGGGGGAAGCTCTGCAGAGCTGAGTCTCAGAGAACAACAAGCCTTGGTGGGAGGGAGCCTGGGGCAGGGACATGGCATCCCAAGAAGCAGGAGACTGCATCAATAGAGGCTGGCACTGGAGCTGAGGGTGGGATGGGCACCCTGGCAGCAGTTATCTCACTGAGCTGGGAATAGGTCTATCCTCTGCTGTCAGCAAAGACCTTGCAATCCCCCTGTCCCCTGTCTTCACAGCACTTGTTTTCACAGCCAAAAGAAACACCTCTCCTACCCAGCCCTCCCTTTACTACTCCTACTGAAATCTGGAAGGTGCAAATAAGACTCCTAACCTCAAACAGATGTCACATGATGGAAGTTATGGCTTTGTTTCTTTTAAAGAAGCAAAATTATTAAAAATATTATGTGTGTTGATACATAAAGACATCTACAACCTTAAAAGAACACGAGTGTTTCACACCCATGCATCTGAGAGGAAGAAAAAGGCAAATAAAATTGTCCATGACTTTATTTTTGCTGCCTTGCAATATAATCTTTCATTGTAAGATTGCATACTATTTTTCCGTTAGGATGCCTGCTTCATTTAGTGCACAAGATGCTGCTCTGGATGTGAGTCAAGGCTCTGACATGGGAGCCACCCCACCTTTTGCAGAGGTTGGAATATCTCTAGCAAGTGACCATGATGAAGTGCACTGAGTGAAGATGTGGGGAAAGTGGCTTCTCTGACTCCTTCAGCTGTAAAACCTCGTGCCACACTTTCCACAGAGAGAGACTCATCTCATGCACACTGGCTGTGTAGGAGTCCTGTCTGGTCTGAATGATTCATACAGGCCCTCTGTCAGTGTGCAGGCAAGCACTGAACAGTATTGATCAGAACTGATCAGTAATAAATGGCTGAACTCAGCCATGGACACTCTAAAACAACCCTAAAATACTCACTGAGTAAATATGTGTATCCAGGACACTGATGAACAAGAGCAACTTAAAAAAATGAGGCAAATTAGGTCTGTAGGGCTAACCTCCAGTCTGATCCCATTTAGTGTGCTTGAATTTGGATGCTTGATGCAAGTTCCTGTTTCTCAAAGTATCATGCACTAAGGACAGGTTGCATGAGTGCAGTCCTGTGACTCCAACAGGTCTCTTATACATTAGGGATACACAGTTAGTTTTGGAGGCAATGGATAATCAGTGCAAATGAAGCATCTAGCCCAGTTAACCATTGCTCTTGTTTACCAGAGGAGCTCTGTTTTTTTATCCTTTCACTGGCAAATTGCAGAGACCTGCAAGGCAGCTCTGTAGACTACAAGCCAAAACCTGCTCCTCCGAAGTATGGTGACTGAATCAGTAGCCTTAGAAGAAAAAGTCTCAGTTGGGTCTTTTACCTTTCTGCTGGAAATAACTCAGGATTCAATTTCTGAGATGGTTGATGGTTCGTTCCCAGTCCTAAGGCAAGTATCCCTACTCAGAGAAGCACTTAACCATGTGAATACATGTCACTGTTCAGTCAGAAATTACTCCTTGGGTCATTTCTCTAGTATCACTTTCCAGGAATTAAAAGAACCATTCTTCTGCTTTCCTTTTTGGCAAAGAGGACACATGAGCACAGCAAAACTGAAGTCAATGGGTGTTAAGCACATGCTTGAATGCTTCCTTGAATTGGGAACTCAATTTCTAATGTGGCAGTGATTTGTGGAAAGATACACAGAAACATGGAGGGATCTATTTTAAAGGTCAAACTTTCTGCTCCCATCTTATTGTGCAGCATGTTGTGGCTATAACTTGGTTGAAGGCTGCAGGAAAACCATAGAAATGCAGCACAGATATGCCAGTCGTGACAATAAGTCTGGCCACAGCTGCTTTATCACAATATAACACGGCAGAGTTAGTGCCAGTTACTATAAAAGAGTCAACAATGCGTGACATGTTTTACTCAGGTTGGCCTCTGGGAACAGTGCCAGACAGCGAGGGAAACATGACTCACGCACAGACTCAACTCTCCTGTTTCGCTTAATGTACAGTCACATTTTCTTGAAGGGGGTGGCAAGGGAAGTATTTTGTTTTGGTGCTGCCAGGCACACAGCACACCCCTCCTGTGAGCTGACAGCATTGGTGGGATGTGGGCAAGGCTCTGGCACAGTGCCTGCCTCACCAGAGTGCTTCCCTGTACCGGGTCCTGTTCCTCGCACCAGCAGAAACTGGATGGAGCAGTAGGTGGAAAAGAGTGTGTGGGGCACATACAGCCTGATGGGGTATTCACTTGGCAGTCAATCACTGCCACATGAAGTGACAAGGGCACCACCTGGGAAATTTCTCTGCTCTGCTGCTTAGATTGCTTGGATGCTTTATGGCAGAGAGCATGTGAAGGAATGTGGTTTTATAAACTGGTAGTGGAAACTACACCCAGAAGGCAGAGATGGGCTCTGACTACCCCAGCAAACCAGACAAATATGAAAGCTAAATGACAGGAGAGCTAGGAGCAATTTTCTTCCTAATCCAGTCATCCACAGCCATGCTTTGGAATATCAAGAAAAAGAAGACGAAAATTGTTTTCCTCTCTATGTGCAAAAAAAAAAAAAAAAAAAAAAAGACTGAGAGTATAAACATTTACAGCATCTCCAAGAGGGTGAAGCTTGCTTCATCTTTCTGTCTACCTGGCTGCAACTCTCAGAAAGGTCTGCACTGTCAGGCAGCAGAATAGGCAATTCATCCCTTAAATAGTGAGTGAGCTGCAAGCAGTCAGAGCCCTTTAATGCACCTCTTGGTGCACTGGGTTTGATCAGTAACCTGGATGTGGCGAGTGCTGGAGCTGCAAGCCAACCTCTATAGAAAAAGTAGCAGTGCTCTGCTGCCTGCATGAGCCTCATTTTGAATGCCGTAAATATTAAGGAATGTGCTACTTCTTCCAACCTTTCAGTGCTCTGTTTCTGTGTGCACAGATGGGCGTTGGGAGACAGAAAGCCAAGTACAGCTAAGTGTACTGAAATGCTTTGCAGCTTTTTAAAATTTCTTCCAGCATCTGAATCTGTTTATCTAACCTTTTTTTCCCTCTCCTCCCTTTTCTTTCTCAGAGAATTGCTCCTACTGTGCGGATGAAATGCACCAAAATGCAAACAAGCAAAATATGGAGCTGAGTGACGTTTAATGCAAGTTGCTCCACTGCCAGATGTGAAAAGAACAAGTGGTTTGAAAATCATAATTTGTTTTAAAAAAAATATAATTTGGTACTTCTGAGAAATTTGATGATTTAATGAGCACAGATGGATGTGGGATGAATTTCTAGCAGACAAGTGTTTAATGTATCTGCTCATATTATTCCAGGACTAAGCATTATCCTTCCTAGTGCATGAAGGTAATTAATATTTCCCATTATGGACATGAAAAAACCCATATGATCAGTTAAGGAATGCAGATACACCAATGATATGGAAGTTAATTCATAAATCAATTAAAGAATCTTGCCTGCTGTGTATAATTATGGTTACTTCAATTATAGCTTATTTTCAGATTTAAGACTCAGGAATCAAAATACGTAAAATCAGAGTAAGTTCCTTATCACCATATACTGCAGCTGGAAACATTTACTCAGTTTTAGCACTCTAAATCTATTTGCTCCTGATTCTAGCACAGCTAAGAGAATGCAGGTATCCTTTGTCTCTCTGGTTCTATTCTGCCACTTAAAATAGTTATCAGTTAAATGTTTCCCTACCTGGACCACTCTGAGGTGGACTGAGCAATTTGTAGGGTATGGGACTACCCCTGGAATATTAAATAATGTGTCTGGAGATCTCTATAGTAAAGCTTTGAGAACAGCAGCTCTGGAGACATCAGGGACTGTACTCCCCAGCTTCTCTTCATGGCTACATTTAACTAAAGGTGCAGCAGCCCACTGATTTAGTTACATTCGTGCTAAACCTGGTTTATATTGATTTAACTTTTCTTATAGCATTAATCTGAACTGATGTAGACCAAATTAAGTGTGCCTAAATAGGGATTGGTTTTTCACTCCTTTTACTAAATCACTTTTTCATGGATTTTAAGGACAAGAGACTACTGCAATAGTCTGTTCTCCCTGCCTTCATTACAATGCTGAAGGACTTGACTGTATTTATTTCTGCTTCAAGTCTAACAGCTGTACCTGAACAAAAGCATCTCTTTCAGAAAAAATGCCAAATCTAGTGTAAAAATATTCCCATGTCTGTCATGACTGCAGTCTCTTACAGACTGTTATGTTACCATGCCATCCCTACACTCTTTACCAAGTGTATCACTCTGTACCAAGCCAGAGCTCCCCGTGTCTCTCATTGCAAGTATATATTTTTAAATCTTCCATTTTTCTTATGATACTTCTCTGGGTCCACTTCACTTTGCATCAGATTTTCCTCTTCTGAAATATACTGTTACTCTGTGTTCACCTGAGCAGGAGCTGAATTAGCTCTGTACCAACAGATCAGCCCTACCTATCACCCACCTCACACTTCAGCCCTCATTCTGCAACAGCAAAAGTTTTATGTTGACAGTTCATGTTCAGGACCTCACTCTTGTTGGGCTGCACTACATCCATTAATAACCATGTTCTAGTGATTTCTGATGTAGAGTTAGATTTGATGCCAGTGACTCAATTTTCAATCCACTTAGTATCTGCTGGGTTGGTTGTGTACAGTTTACTCAGCAAGAAGTTTTATGGTAACAAACCAGTTGCCTTAGAAAAGTTTGTTATGGTGTCACTATCACCTTCTCAACCAAATTCTGATTTGTAAAATACTGCATAAGGTATGGATGGTCCTGTAATGTCCCTTATTATGCAGCATCTGCTTCATGATCCCAACAGGATTCAGGGTCAGGTGCCTTGCCCAGTCCATTCCCTTCAGCCTTTTCCATACACTCCAACAAAATTAGTTTCTTTCCAATTTCTGTAATTTTAATGTTATTTCAAAATTGTTTTAAATACCAATTCAAGAGTGTTCCCTGAACAGCTTTCTGAAAATTCTTCAATGCTTTTGTAAAAAGCATGCTTTCCTCAACCACCTTTTGAGTGGAAAGCATTTCAATAGCACTGTAGCTGTGAATTATCTATTACCTTTCCAGTCCTCAAGCTGCAGTCTTATAGAAAACATTTACCTGAAGCCAGTGTCACGCTGCACATGGAAACCCATCTCTTTTCCGCAACCCCCTAGCTCCTTTCTGGTCAGTTATCTCTCTCTCCACCTGCTTTTGTATTTTGGTATTCCTATTCTTTTTTTTTTTTTTCCAGTTTGTGAAGTCATTTACTCTGAGGTACCGAGGTGGAAAGCAGGCTGCTGAAATGAACTCCAGAATCACTGGTACACCCCTGTCTAGAAACAAGCTATATTTTTGGTAACAGGTCACTGAAGATGTCCGTATCTGTAAGTATTCTAAACAAGAAGAATTTGAAACAGCCTTTGGTACTCAGAATGGGACATGTCTAAATGGGACATAGTATGTCAAGTCCTTAAGTTAAAATACTGGAATCCCATTTAAAATGTGGCATTTGCCAACAGCATTTACACCATTTGGGCTGAGAAAGCACTGCTGTCCTCCACATTTAGACGAGGGCTGTGGAGTGTCATGGACAGGTGCTCTTAAACACTTCTTTAAACCTGAACAGTGTACCAAATGATTTTCAATGGACAGATGCATGTAAGCCCTGTCTTCCTAAAAGACAGCTGAACCATGTACAGTCAATCAACAGAACACCAGAACTGCAACAACTCTTGAGCAAGTTAAACCTCCATCCCTCCTCCAATTGCTCCCTGTGGATGCAGGCAACCTTGGGAGAAGCACAACTTACCTTTCCCGGGGCAAAGGCTTGGGCTCTGGCCGAATAGCTGCCATGGAAGAGAGGGGTGGTCTGACAGGTGAAGGGATGGAAAAATTCAAATCCAAGGAGCCTGTTTTCCTGTGCAGAGGCTCCAGCCCCATGGCTCCTTGCATTTCACTCTCAATAGGGCATGAGCCGGCTCTGCCGTGACTGGAGAGGGAGGACAGCTCAGGCCCCACTGCCCCTTGCAGAACTCCTTCAATGGCAGTCTGGGGGTCATGCGTGGGGGACACAGATGGTGGGGAGCGTGACTTCTTTTTTGTTGATGCTCCTGCTAGAAGTTTCAACAGCCCACTCTTCTTCTCCTTCTGCAAAGGAACCAAACAAAACATGAGCAGTGAGCAGACATACCAACTCCCTTTGCTTTTCTTTTGGAAAACCTCAATGTGTGCTGCAGGAAACTTCTCAAAACTGCCATAAAGGTGGATCCATGCAGAAATTGAACATTCTATAATAAAGATCCTATGAAAATCCTTCCCCATTGAAAAGGGCTTCAAATAACTCAGTAGAGTAAGGACCAAACATACTGCAAAGGTTATCCCATTTTCAAATCTATCCAGGCAGTGATCATGTGCCTTTTGAAACGAAGTGCAACTACACTGGTACAGCAAAAATACAAATTTCCCATGCAGAGAAGACAGCAAGCAGAGTGCTGCCCTCTCTCTTCGAGGAGAATCTTGTCCCTCAATAGAGATACATCCCACAAGTAAGAAATCAGGACCCATGGCTAAAAACTCGGCTGGGAAGCACAATGGGCTGAGGAGAGATTTGGGATCCCAGCTCACTGCAAGAGAAGCATTCATCATTACTGCCTCTTTTACTATCTGATGCAGATTTACAGTAGGGAGAATGGCGGCATGAGAATCTGGTTCAACAGCTCTCTCCAGAACATGCTCCCCTGCACATCCTGCAACATACAGCAATAACTATTCGTGTCTCCCTCCCAGAAGTGGGTCACTTCCCCTCGTGTTAAGGTAAAGGTATCACCTTGATGTTTGAAGATAGACCACAAAATTCACAATTGGCAATTGCAGTGGCAGTGCATGGGAGGTTTCAAAGTTCTACAAGGGTTTCTGACACAGAGAAATGAACAGATGATAAGAGCACCCTTTCAATTAATGGGAAAAAAAAAGTCTAGCCTGCATTCCTGAGGAAACACATCTGACCTTTCGGATTTTGTAACAGCGCGAGAAATCCTGCTGCACATTTACCTTAAACACACACAAATACCATGTCCTTCATCTTGAAAGATTTTTGGCTAGAGGTTTGTATGTAGAAACTGGACATCCTCCGCTACATACTCCATAATGCTAGGTTAGAGTTGCAACCAGCAATGCTGTGCAGTAAATTTTTCCATTTTTAAAAAACGATACATGAAGTTTTGAAAAGGTCTATTAGATTTCTTCCTCTTTTTTCAGAAGTGCAAGCCATTACCAAAACTATCTTCAGAGGCTCAGGGCTGTGAAGTTTAGCTGTATTTGATAATTGGTTCAATAATAGGATCCCAGGGGATAAAATCAAACCCAGAAACGGCAAGACTTATGGAACAGAAATTCTCTCTATATATTCAAGTAAGAACACTTGCTGGAAGTACGAGGCAGCAATTTATTTATTCTTTGTAGACAAAATGTCCCATGCAAGGTTTAGAATTATGCTCTTTTATATTCTGACTGCTTTAGTATTTTCTCAAAGCAGCTTTAAAGAATAGAAAAGTTACAGTAAAATAAATACAAGCTTTTAGAAGATGCTTGGATTTACTACAGTAAATGTACTTGGAGTATCTGGTATCTCTGCTTCCAAAGTTCTTGTTTGCACTCTTTAACCGTCATGGACTGGTAAGAAAACAGAAATACCTTAGATGTCAAAATACAGAAGATATAAAGCACAGTTGTTGTCACAGAGCCAAAGTCCACTGATTTTTGAAGAGCAGAGTCTGAACTGTGTACCCAGATCCTGGTCTCCTGCATACCACTGGTTATGTCTTAAAAGAATGTTTTGCACTTACAGGATGAAAGGATCCGTCCTGTCAAGATGTTCACCCAGGCAGAATCCATGGAAGCTAAGGAAGGCTGGCCATATGGCACCACCGGGTCAAAAAAATGAAATCAATTCCTCTGCAAACAATAGGAAAGTGGACAAAATGTCCCAGATAAATATCTTCTTTCCCTGATGGGAAGGGACTGTATGGAAAGTGGGCATTCTGGAATTCACCTGAAACACCAGAAAAAATGATTCAATTTTTCTCTCGCTGTCTAATTAAAAAATACTGTTGCTGTGATCATTATATAAAATTTTAAAACTCTTCATGAAGTTGCAAAACTCTTCCTGTGGCACACTGAAACAATAGCTCTAATGATCCCAGCATCCTGTGTCAATAAGCATTTGAAGGTGTCCAAAGGTCAGTGGCAGAATACAATAGACATTGTGGGGCTCTGGAGAAATGGCTATTGTGCAGCAGTGAGCACTTCGAGCCTCTCTAATTGGCAGTCTTGCAAATGCAAAGTAACTATGTGAACTAAAGCCCTGTATAATGAACAATTAATATTCCTGTGTGGTAGCAGCTTCTCTAATTTTTGCTTCTAATTTAAATACCTTGGCAAATTTTCATTAGAAAAACCGTGCACAACTTAAACCATTTAAGGCACAGAAGCAAAAATATTTGGAATGAAGGAGGTGCATATACTCATACCCATCTACACATTAAAAAGCAGATGAGTCTGATAGTCATTCAGTTTTGTTTACAAGAACAGCTTCCTTGTTAGCCCTGGCATAAATTTATACTCTTAAGCTACTATCCCTTAGAAAACAGAAAGCAATAATGACCTTGCTGATCTATCCTTTGTTCTACTTTAATAAAAGGAAAAATAAAGAATTGAGTTTTAGCCCCTGCTGAGCATTTTAGTAAACTTTTGAAACTAAGATCTGTGGTCTTGGAAGAGAGAAGATGACTTAATTCAATTGCTAAGCCTAGTCAAAACCTGAGCAGTACCATCCTTCAAGCTGTGGCCTTTGGCAAGGTATTTAAAGGTGACCTGATACCAACCACTTTGTGTGCATGGAGATTAGACAGTATGTCCAGCTCTTTCTCCCTTTGAGCCTGGCTCTCAGCCTTTTGGTATCACATGGCCAGATCCTCTGCTGACGCTGCTCAGAGCATTTCAAGCAAAAGAAGGACTGTCAGGAACCGATAATTTACTGTGATATCTCTCATGAGAAACAGACTGGGTCTGAGCCTTCTGTGATCAGCAGTTCAACCTAAACCACTACCTGCCTCCCTCTATCTGTAAAATGTGACTAAGCTGAAACTCCTCCTTGTGCTGTGGGAATTCGTTAAAGATTCTAGTGTTACAAAGCTTTCTTTGGGAGCAACCAGCTCTTTTCCATGGCTTTTATATTAAAAAAAAAAAAAAAAAAGGAATGGGATGTTAGTATGCAGTCCCAGTAGTGATTTATTGCAAATGTCCAAGTACTATGAATTCATTTAATATTTAGTTTAATAGCAGCCATCTTTCATAAGTAATTATATGTCTATTCAAGACAGTCCTTCAGCAGTTTCACTGTATATCAATGAAGCATGAATGGGCATAAATGCTGTAGAGAAATCTACACCGATTGGTTACAGACTCTGTCACTTTTCAAAACAGATAAGAAGTTTACAGGGGACATATCTAATGACTTTCAGAATTGTTTTTGAATTAAAAAAGACAGTTTACTTTTTTTTCCATTCACAGATGGTTGTTTTATTGTTTTCTAGGAAATCTGTAATTTTCTGAAACAGCTGTGTAATTATTGAGTTTTCTTTGTCTAGTAGCTACATTTCCAATTGACTGCAAACTGTGTTTGACATCCCTACCCCCTGAATCTGCCAAGGTCAGACCTTCACATCTGTGTTGATGGATGGATTCACAGTGTGGCCAGCACTTCTCCCATCTCCTGGTTACTGCCTGCATGTTTATATGAATTTAAATCATCACCTTTGTGTTGCACAGGTTATATTCTAGGCTGTTGAGAGTCAAAACTTCCATACCATTAATTTCAAAAGAATTCAAAGGAAAGCAAAAGAACAAAATTAGCCCTTACAAATAAATTTCAGGCTGTTTCTAGTTAAGAAAAAAAAACCCGAAACAGTCTAGGAACACAGACTGTATAGACAACTCAGAATTTTTTTCTCTGGCACAGCTGACAGTGGAGGCTCTGTTCCTATGGTGCAGCATGAAGGAATCTCAGAGGAAATCAGTCTCTAGCAGAACAAGGATGGGATGGGCAGCACTTCTGTGACCCTGCAGCATACCCTGAGGGAAGCCAGCACTTGGACAGGCGGAAGTTCCTCTCAATATCCCACTGTGAGAATGTCTGGAAAAGTGAATACTGTCTGAGGTTAAAAACTCATGAAGGATTAGATCAAAATTAAAGTCTGAGATATGTAAATGTTGAAATATTTTGCTTCACAGTAATTGGGGATGATTTTTCCCCTCATTAATAACTCACTTGAAGATAATAACTAGCTCTTCTTTCAGCTTCAGAGATGAGATGAGCACAGAATGCAGCTACTTCATTGATGACTGAGTGATAACAGAGTCCCTTGTCTGCAAAGCAATAATCATGCCATAATCTAAATACCAATTACATGTCCTGACTATATTAATACAGATATATTTTTTTAAACTACCCAAATACACAGAACATTCTGGTTTAGTTTTCTTCCTCTGCAGCTCCTAATACTTAATTTTCTACCTATCCAGGTTCATTAAACAAATGAGGAAACCTTACTGCAGCTGATAGAAAAGCTGCCTCCAGTCACTGAAATGAGGTAATTTCTCATGCAACACCAGTTACAACAATAGATAAGAGAGCTAGAGGGAGAAGAGGTTTCATTTAAAAACAAAGAAAAAAGAAACAAGCGCTTAAATGTTTCCCTGAGCCCTATGAGGGCTCAAATGCCCTCACAAATCAGGAACTCATCTATCAGTCAGTACCCCCAAAATACCACTTTTATTGCTTGTTTAAGTTGGTCAGTGCCTGTTTGAGTAAATGTAAGTTAGTGGCTGGAGAACAGTGCATTTTTACTCTGATTCCAACATGGCTTCTGGTGATTGATGCTTGCATTGAAACAGTAGGTCATATTTTGAATTATGTCTGTGAGGAAAATAGCTATCTGAGTTTTTCAAATCTGTAAAATTATTTGATCTGAGATTTTGATAATCATTCTAAAAGCTCTGCCAAGACCCCCAAACCAATATAATCTCAAAGGGAAGCTTCAGGTCTGATATCTCTGGATATGTATTTATCATGTGCAATTTGCCACTAT